CAGGTGTGATCAGTGTGTCCAGCTGTGTCCAGGTGTGCCCAGGTGTGTCCAGGTGTGATCAGTGTGTCCAGGAGTGATCAATGTGTCCAGGTGTGATCAGTGTGCCCAGGTGTGATCAGGTGTGTCCAGGAGTCAGATCAGATCAGTGTGTCCAGGTGTGTCCAGGTGTGATCAGTGTGTCCAGATGTGTCCAGGTGTGATCAGTGTGTCCAGGTGTGTCCAGGTGTGGTCAGTGTGTCCAGGTGTTATCCACCTGCTGCTGGGAGACAGGCAGGTATTCTAAAAGTTCCTCCTTCAGATGAATCAAAGCTGTCATGTGATGATGATGTAATGTACGTTAGATGTACTCTACCTGGAAGCAGTCAGCTCAGGTGGCAGCAGGGGCGGACCTAAAGGAGGACAGTTTCCAGCAGCATTCAGTCTAAACAGGAAGTTACTGATTTAACAAAATGTTCTCAGACACATAAATCCGTTTGTAGTCAGTAACTGTGACAGGTAGAACACCAGAGTGTTGTCCAGGTGATCTGTTCGTCATTTAGCCTGAAGCTGACATTAATTCTCTTGAAAATCAATAAAGATTTCTTGGCTGAACATGTGATGTTTCAGGATTCCAACAACATGGGACTTGGTTCAGCTGTAGCAGGTTGACGCCTGTCGACTTGAAGCTGGTTTTAAACTTGGTGCTGAACCCTCCTCCTCCGTGTTTGTCAGTCTTCTCAGAGGCAGGTCAGCAGGTGCGTCTCCGTCCAGCAGCAGTGTCTTCGATAAAACCTGGACGCTGATAAGAGCTGAGACAATTTCCTGCTGCAGGATATGAAAGCCGCTGGATGAGGCAGGAGGAGCTTTGTTCTGAGTGAAGCAGCGTTATGAGCAGATGGAGCCGATACCTTCCTCCATCTCTGAAATGTCTCCCATCAGAGCCGAGCGACGACGAGATGTCCATCAGTCACATGAAAGCAGCTGAAGTGACATTTGGAAGAAAGACGAGCTGTGACATTTCTGCTCACATTCATGAATGACGATGAGTCACACGTTGATGCAAACAGCGCTGCTTCACACGACATGTTGCGTTTCTTTATTTAAGTCAGCAGCTCATGTGCACTCATCTGTTTGCAGCTTTAAAATGTCGCATCTCCTCCTTAAACATAAACGTTCTGTATGTTTGGTTTGAGTTTTGACAAATGAGACGTTTATAAAAGTTTCCCTTTTAATAACCTTCATTTAATTCGTTATTATATCTACCGAAAGCTTTACTTATTAATACAGTCGTTTTGGGCTGAAGATTACTTGTTTAATTTTATTTTATCACAGGCTGAATTTATTTTTTATAGTAAAACAACTTTAAATTCAACTATTTTAATAATATAATGAAGTGAGTTTATATTTATTTTACCTGAATCTGTCTCTGTTTTTAATAAAAAAAACAATCTGCTGGACTTTCACTTTATTTATTGTCACGTGAGGCAGCGCTTCTGAACCGGAAGCTGACGTGTCAGTGTTGTTGTGCGGCCGCCGTCACGTGTCTGTGTCGTCATCAAGAGGAAGGAGACAACATGGCGGCGGACTCAGTGTTGAAGGTAAAAACACCAACACGTTAGCGGGAGTTCTGGTCGAACCGGACGGACTCAGCCCGCTGCTGAGGCCGCGCTCAGGCGGTGGGAGCTGTCTCAGTCCGGCTGCAGTTCCACGCTGACCCTCCGCTCCCCTCCGTCAGTCTGTTAGCATCAGTTAGCTGCTCCGGAGCTACACCGACACCATCAGCAGATCATAGCGGCAGCAGCAGCCCGAAGAAGCGGCTCCCTGTCAGCCTCTGTCCGAATCTCTGAGCCACTCTCTGCCTGTAACAGAACCGCGCAGCCCCGGGAACCGATGTGAGGAGCTAACGGCCAACAGTGGTGACAGACTGACGGGCCCAGAGAGGTCACAGAGCGGCCAGCAGCTTCCAGAGTACCGCTCGGTAGACCCAGAGTTCAGCTGAACTCCACAAACATCCAGCTGTCAGTGTTTCCTGCTGGGAGCTAACTGAGCTAACGGCTAACTGAGCTAACAGCGTTAGCAGACAAAGTTGTGCCGGTTAAAGTGAACTAGCAGTCAGTTGCTGTGGTTAAAGGTTAACTCTGAGCTCTGCTGTCGAACTCTACGGTCTAATATATAAAAAATACACACACAGCTCTGCCTGGAAACATAATAAAAGTACGGTGTATATATATATATATATATAAGTTCTGTTACCGGTCCTCAGCTGTGGGTGTAAATATTATAACTATATACAGATGAAAAGGTCAGATAGCAGAAATTTGAATTATATATGTTTTTTTTTACATTAATACAATAAGCTGATATATACATATATTTTTACTATATTTACTTAAACATACAAACAAAACACTGTTAATTTAATTTATTTTAGTTTTACTCAGTGTTGGCTCTTCTTTACACTAATATACAAATCTTAGTTTTAGTTTAGTTTAATTTTCATTGGAGTCTCTTGTCAGCGCTCAGCTCGGGGGTTCAGTGCTGAAGGATGTGAGACGCAAAAAGCAAAATCAAATGAAACCAGAGCAGCAGCAGCACGCTCAGGTGGAGCAGACGAAGCCAGCGGGGATCGACAGGGAATTTAATTTATTTTTATGTTTTACTTTTCATTTAATTTTTGCAAAAGTGTAAATGTTCATTGTTTTTATTTTTACCAGATGCAGTGTTCTGTTCAAAAGCATAATTACAATTTTATTTCATTCAATTGAGAAGCAGTTTTCAAACAATCATATAAAACTTGTAAAAACGCCTGTACCATTTCTGAAAGCTGACGTGAAGAGGGGAGGGTTAGAAGAAGACCTGACAGAGAAGAGCGTATGGTCTGAAGCAGGTTCTATTTATGAAGATGTAGGAGGGAAACGTATTTCAGCACCACGTCTGGGTCGATCTGCTGCAGCACAAACAGCGTTTTAACGCTTGCTGATGTGCCTGTAACTTCCTGCAGGTGATATTTGAGCACGACGGCGTCTTCATCCATCCGAGCGGCGATGAAGACGGCCTCGATCAGGATCTGCTGGTTTCAGGGTGTCTGCGGATCCTCGACAAGGTAAAACACGAGTCATCAGGTTTCGTTAGTAGTTCATCTGCATCTCATCAGGTTCATCTGTTTGTTCCTGAGATGTGAGGGAAGTGTAAAAACCGCCTGATCATATTTGTCAGAACACTAAGAGACACACGAGCTAAATCCTGACGTCTGACCAGCAGCTGACCCTTATTCCACTAAACTGGAGAACAAATGAATAAATGACACGTGAGAAGCAGCTGGCAGCTCGTTCTGTTTGTGTCCATCATGTCTTCTCTTCAGTCTTTGCTGTTCTGTGACTGGTTCTGATCAGATGTAGGCGTTGTTTGGATCAGGGCTGTGAGCTGCTGTGTGGTATGTGGGTCGTATGAACCTGCTGATGGAGGTGTTTCCTCTCCGTCAGGATGCGGAGGTGCTGGTGGAGTTCAGACCTCTGGAGGACACCGTGGATCCGTCCAACATGCTGTGTGCCGGGAAGGTTCGTCTGTTTCATCTGTCCTCAGGTTTCTGTTTACACCAGGGCTGCGACTTTAGCTCGTTCACTTCCATTAATTAATGACAAAACATTAATTAGATTAACCGCCACTAGTTGAAACTCCACGTCTGTGCTCCTCAGTCCAGCTTCCTGGTTTGTGAGTAACTGAAGATCCAGTGATCAGCTGTTTGTTGGATGGAAGACAGAAAAACTCCAGTTTCATTACATCTGTGTTTAATGTTGGACTGAAATTACACGTACTCCTCAACTGATCAAAATAAAAGATGAGTTCATCAGTAGATGATCTGAATGTTCCTCAGAGCTTTGAGTATCTCCACCTGCAGATCATCAGCCTGAACAGCTGCTAGAAGCATTCAGCTCTGTTACCTGGTCAGTTTGGTTCAATTAAACTTATGTTTGTAAAAAAATAAATAACAAGAAACCATTAGGAGGCAGAAATGCAGTTTTTTCTTCTTCAGGCTTTGCAGCATCCAGCAGACACACCGACTGACTCTAGTAACTGTAGTGCAGCCACATTCAGTGTGTGTTGTCTAAGAAACCGGATCAGGCTGGACTCTGTGTCTGCACATAGTAAATGAGTCTGATTGGATCAGAACACTGGTAAACAGTGACTGTGTGCCTGAGCAGGACTCCAGTTCAGTGATGGAATGGAACCAGTGTCCAGAGCGTTCCCAGGCCCAGCAGCTTCTGGAGAGTCAGCACAGCTATGAGACAGAGTGGGACATGGTGAACGCCGTAACCTTCAGGAAGAAGGCCTGCAGCAACGGAGAAGGTGAGTCTGGCTTCTCACCTGGACAGGTGCTACCTGGAACTAAGAACCTTTAGTCTCACAAGGAACCTTTTGAAGAACCCACAAAGGTTCCTTTAGGCTCCATCAGTGGAAGTGTCATGTGTCTGTACTGATGAAGTTCTGAGGCTCAGAAATGACGGAAAGAGTCCATTACAGTGATTAATCTGGACCCTCCTCTGTGGAACTCTGGAACATTCACAGTCTGAAGGTAGAACTCTGGTCAGTAGATACAGGTACTGCAGAATCAGAACCAGATGTTCTGAGGAGGTTCTGCTGGGTTCTCAGTGTGTTTTCTGATCCCTGCATCTTGTCTCTCAGGATCTCTGAACCACAGCCATGAGAGGAGCCGCTGGACCTTCAGCGTCAGCGTCAGCGACCTGAGATCCATCACAGTGAAGGAGGAGGGCTGGACCTTCCTGCTGCTGCAGCTGAAGGACGCCTCCGCCTCGCTGCCACCGCTGCACTTCCACCAGGGCGGCAGCAGAGAGTTCCTGGACAGCCTGCGGAGGTTCGCTCTGCTCACCGAGTGAGTGCTGAGACACACAGACGCTGTCACTGTGTTACCTGTGGGCAGGTGTGCAGCACCTGCTGAGGATCGTCTCCTCAGCAGTCCAGCTGCAGGCTGCATCCCCACGGAGGTACAGCATCGTGTCAGAGCAGCTGTTCACTGTCAGTCTGATAGATCACCATGAGCAACGTGTTAACGCCTGTAGAGCAGTTTCAGCCTGAGCTCGAGAACAATAACTGTTGGACAATGTTCAAGTAACTCTGGACAAATTCTGAGGTATTTTGGGAAACTGTCAAATGTTTCTGTCAGGTTCCTGTCATTCTGCTCCAACATGAAACCCAGAATCTGACATCAGGCTCTGCTTCTGTCTGAAGGGACGTTCCACACTGAGCTGAAAGAGGAACCATCAAACCAGAACCAGCCCCTCAGCATCTGCTAGTTGCTGATTATATGTATATTTAGTGATATAGTGTGAGTTGTTTAGAGGTTGGAATCATTGGGTTTCCTGATGGAGGAGACGTGGGCAGAGAAATGAATGCATGTTATTGTCAGTGAGGTCCTGCTGTTATTTATATGCTAATTCCCTCTGACGGTGTCTCACGCAGCACTTTTCTTTCCTCTGAACCAAACATCAGTGAGATTACGGCGCTGCTGCTGCTGATAGCTGTTATTAAAGTTCTTATCGATGCCTCGTAATGAAACGCTGCAGATTAAGACCCGGATGTTTTCAGCAGCAGCCGACGCGAAGCTGCTGAAACTTTAATAGAAGCTCAGAGAAACAAAGTGTGATCGACCCGACTCAGAGATACGGAGGATGTTTATCACAGCGCCGTCACACCGGCTGATCCAGTGGCTGTGGTCCCAGTGTGACGTCAGGGTTCTGTGTCTGTCTGTGTGTCTGCAGGTCACCGGACGATGAAACGTGTCTGCTGGTCAGCACTCCTAACAAAGCTCTATCGCAGTCCTTTGAGAACCTTCTGGATGACAACAACTTTGGCCTCGTTCACGTGAGAACCCACACGGACCTCCTTCACACAACACCATGACGATTTACTGCCAACTCACACACCTGATCGTGTTCTGGGGAATTCACCGAGTTCACAGATTTGTTCTGGACCCTTTTTGGGCTGTTTTTGGTTATTTGTTGGTGTTTCTTTAGAGTGAGCTATACAGAGAGAGATATTTGGGTATTTTGTAGATGTCTTGAGTCTTTCTGTGGTTAATTTCCACCCTTTCCCTGATCTTCTTGTTTCTGTGGCGTTGTCGGTGTGTTCTGGGTTAACGTGTTGATCTTTACCAATCATGTTTCAGTAGATGTTCCTCTGATTCGTCTACAGATTCACACTCATACGTTTTGTAGATTTTACTGGTGTGTTTTCGTTTGGTTTACGGATCTTCAGGTGTTTCCGTGAGACTTTCTGTGGGTTTCATTGACATTGTCCAGTCTGTAGACTGACCCGGTCTTCCTGTGTGTCCCTGCAGAAGCTGAAGCGCGACCCGTACGTCACCACGCTGGGCGGGTTCTCCAAAGTCACCAACTACATCTTTGACGCCCTGCGAGGGACGGAGGAGCAGCAGCAGCGCCCCCCGGAGGAGGTGGCCGACCTGCTGGGAGAAGTCATCCCAGGACTGGAAATCAACCAGCAGGAGGAGCCCGGCTTCGAGGTCATCACCAGGGTGGGTCTGAAGCACTGCCGAGCAGGGTTCTGAAGAGAGTTCATCGGGTTTCTTTGGTTAATTCCTCCAGCTTCTTGAGGTTGCATTCTATGAATCGTACCCAGAGTTCTGCTCGTTCAGTTTGGTGAAGGGTCGATCAAACTGAACCCCGTGGGTTCTGATTCAGCTGCCTCAGACGAGGGCTGGTCTGAATAGCAGTTTCTGAGCTTCAGATATTCAGACTCAATTAATGCTCACTGACCGGACTCTGTCTGCAGATCGACCTGGGAACCAGACCTCAGGTGAGCCGCCGAGAACCGCTGTCCGCCGAGGACTGGACCAAACACCAGGACGAGGAGGGGAGGATGGTGGAGACCAACCAGCTGAAACAGAACATCTTCAAAGGGGTGAGTCCATCTTCTATGGGACGGTTCACAGCACAGAACCCAGCAGAACTCAGGTTCAAATCTTTAGAGGTTCTCCTGGAGGTTCTCAGGTGTTCCTTAGAATTTTCATTCCAGAACTGTTTAGTTCATCTGAGCTTCCGAGGAGACGATCCTCTAGAAGCAGGCCTCAGCCGGGTCGATCGGTGTTTGGTCATGCTAGTGGTGTCTTTTCTGCTCTTCATATGTTCTCTAAATGTTCCCCATGTGTTCCTCATGTGTTCTCCATGTGTTCTTCACGTGTTCTTCAAGTGTTTTCATGTTCTCCACGTGTTCTCCACGTGTTCTC